TAACAAGATTAATATTCTGCATGTTCTTGCTTGGTATATCAGTATCAAAACAAGATCAAAAAATACTTTTTGGCTGGATGGAAGATTGTAAGACTTGGTTTGGATTTCTTTACGAATGACGTAAAGAAATCCAAACCAAACTTCCTGCTGCAGTGTAAAGAGACGGGCGTAAATCTGTGTGGAAACCGAAAGCTCGTCTCCGGGAGCTTGTTTTAAGTCTTATTTATTGCAATAAAATAAGTCATTGTTTTTGTTTGCCTGCCGGCAGCTGGGGTGTAAAGGAACGATGCATTTATGAGATCCAGCGTATCCCAAGAATCATAAACAGAAAATCCATCTTTCCACTTTCTGTCACTTCTCATAGAGGTTTACAGGGCCGGCGATCGTGTTGTACTTCAAAGAGCTTCGCAGGGCCTCTGATATGAAACAGACTGTGGTCTGTTTGGTCTTTTCTGCAAAGAGAGGTAGTAAAAAAAAAATCTGGCACTCCACAGCCACTTCAGACATCCACGGTGCCAGAGGGATTTCTGAGGACTACACTGGTACAACACACCACAAGCTTCTATCAAACTCCACTCAAGACACGCTTCGTTTTTCACGTTAATGATCACTGATCTCATTTTCTCTCTTTTTAAATTAACCACTGCTTGTTTTTGTTCCTTTGTTATACAWATTTTTTACGCTTTGTTTAATGTGTTCATTGTCTCTTTAAATTCCCGTCTTCCGTTTAAACCTTTTCCTCTGCTGCTGCTGCTTTGCTGCATAGACAGACAGCAAATTGCTCTCAGAAAATGAAATTACAACCAGTGCCATCTTGTCACATGCACTGAAAACCTAGAATTGGTGGTAATGTTCTGTCAAATTCTTTTCCAAAATTGTCTGGTGCACAATAGGAGCTATCTGAAAGTGTTAGAGAGTCTCAGTTGAGGGAGAGAGAGARAAAAAATACACATTTAGCTGTGAAAGATGAGAAGAAATAGAAGATTGGGGGGATTTTTTATTTAAGCAATAACTCCTCATATCACTTATTAATCCTGCCTCCCAGTAGATAAAAGCTCCTTGCAGGTCTGTCKGTTACTTTGTGTTTTTGTCACCTGCAACAGCGACTTTTTCTTTTCACTTGTTTTTATTTTTTATATATTATCTGCATCTTTTGAGGCAGTTTGCAAC